AAGTATTCTGGGTTTACTGGCAAAATGCTAGTTTTCGTTACCAGTTGCATGCCAACTATACAGATTTACACGCCGTAGTCTAATTAGCCTTTTGTTTCTAGTGAACATGGGCACAATACGCGTAGGCCAGGCTCCCTGGTACTGTCACACCAGCTGTGCAAGGATGCAAAGTTGCATTACAGTCACTGAGTTGGCAGTACAGCAACAGTTAAGATACAACCAGATACATAACTGTACAATTGACTAACTAAATAAGTAGCAACAAAGAATTAAACTTAGCTAGATAATTTATTATTAGTCTCCTCGCGTGCTCTTCGTGTTGTGAAAAATTTCTCTAATAATAGCCTTAGCCGGAAGCCGAAACGTTTGAATAAAACACAGGAGTATCTTTCGTCATGCTCAAATCCACTTGCACTGGGAAAAAGTGAGGAGATTTAGCCTTGCCGTGCATTGAAAAATGACGTTCCGAAATTATCATTAACAATTGGATAATATATCATTTGTGCACATGTCCCGTTCCGAGAATCAAATCACTGGCTTCACGTGGACGTGAAGTAGGACGTAGCGTGGGTGTCCTCATGGCTCACACTGACCATGTCTTCGGTTTAGCTGAAAGACTACCGCCGTGGTCTAATTCCCAAAAGGTAGCATCGGTCACAACGAAGGAGCTGAGAGGCCATGTGTCCCACTGTATGTGCATCTCCATGCAAGACTTTATCCAGACGAACATTTTATCCCATGCAAGGATAAAACGTAAAACCTGGTGGTAACAGTAAAGAATATCCAGATGGACGCACGAAAGCGTAACTACAGTTCCTTAATAAGACTTCCAGCGTGGCGGTTTCCTATGCTGGAAGAAATACCTCAGCCACCGGAACACACAATACCTTAAAATATATGTACGTATAGCACTAGTTAAAAGGTCAGAGTCTGCAGAGATCTGCATGCTTCTTGTTCGCTCCTACGGCAGGAAGGGATGAATAAAAGAAGCGGCTCAAATCGCATTTCCAATGATACGGCTTCTAACTACTTCAGGTATACTGGGAAATACGTTGGCTATGCCACCTACAGCTTTGTAGACTTTGCACGCCTCGATCTACTTGAGACCCGCGGTCATGCGCGTTCAGGCACAGTCATGTGGCAGATGTGGGTAAGAGGCAGAAACACTCCAACACAAACAGCGTCATCGCACGGCAACACACGCACAGACATACACAAAAAAGGCAATATTGCACTCAACAGAGTAGTAGCAGGACTGGCCAAGAGATCCTTATATCGAAGCCCGCATAGACCGAACAATGCATATGGCAAATTGCACACAAGGCCACACGCATCGTGGTCCAGAATCACAGTTCCATGACAGTGGCTGCCACAGTAAGCATTGTTAACCTCTTTGAGAATGGGCATAACGCATTTAAATATGGTAAGTAGCATCGTCAAGCCAAATTACACGTAAACACCTCCAACAAACACTACAAGAACAGGGGCACAAAACTTAATCATACATGATCATCGCTGGGACCTCGGGATCACGAGATGATGTAAATGATGATAGGGTTCTTGATACAGTGCACATAATGCCTACGTTCGTAAAAACACTTAACAATCTGCGCATTACTGATACATTAAACATGTCCTTTGAAATGACCGTACAAATCTTACAAGTAGAAATGACTTTTCAGGTACTAATTCAGAAGAGAAAGCCAAATTTAAAAAAAACAGACGAAAGAGTAGTCAAAAGCATGTTCAGACAATGAACACTCCGGTGCCGCCGATGACCCGGATGAAGTGAAAGTCTAAAAGACAGCACCGTGTAAAAATGTAAATTTATATAGAAGTGCATATTCTGCACAGAGTATTTACCTCAATAAAGGTAAAAACTGATGCGCATTTTAAAGCGAATGTTGGTTTCTACCAAGTCTGTGTGACATTTTCTCTTCTAGTCGTAATTTTTACAGATTGAAGCAGAAGACGTACTTAGGCACGGAAAACGTCACAGAGGCAAGGGTTTAACTGAGTGACCTATGTTCGCAAATGAACTCGTCATACTCGAATGCTGTCACGAGGACTTCCAGCGTGCACGTGATCGTTGTGTCACTATGTGTAAATGATGATGACCGTAAATCATTTTGACAAAACCAAGGCTTTTTTACTCTCCAAAAAAACAATTCAGTTTACTCCGCAGGTAAGCAGATTGCAACTGAAGCAGGATGTGAATTTCAAGCATCGCAGGGTGACATTTAACGCATTCATCAGCACGACAGCACGAAAGACGTAGAAACAGACTCACAAATCAACGAAGTGAATTTTGTGTACGACAACCAAAGCGGTTGGTGACGATGAAGAAGCAGCCGAACCGTAGCGTGAACGAAGCTGACTGACTTTAAGTCTGAATGCGCCTTTAACGTCATCTGCATCTATGGCGATCCAGGAAACGAGGTAAAGAAATGAGGTTTTTTTGAGGGACTGCTGGTACGACGTAGGCGGAAGACGACAGCTGAAGAGAGAGACTCTGGACATTGAAACACTCCATATCCAGATCGAGAGACAACACATACGACAGTTTGGACGAGTATCGAAAAATGCCCTACAGGTTAGATTCGAAAAGATAGAAAAAAAAAGAGCCCAGAGGAACAAGAAGGAAAAAATGGCTGGATTATACAAAAAATGCAACATAATAGCTGTGCTTCAAAATACAGACTATTAGAACTGTCCGCTATGCGAAAAACGGGTATTGTTTGAAGGATCGTTTGAAGCGGCTGTCTACGAGATAGAAAAACAACTAGGGACCTTGAAAATGAAAGAACGAATGATTATTTTAATACTCTATGATATTTACTGTATACTATATTCATGTTTCGGAAATTCCTAGTACAGAAATGATCCTGTGAAGTAACTGCTCCTTGCAAATCCGACCGCC